TGCTCCGCTCGCCCTTCGACCGCGACGTGCCGGTGCAGCTGGAGCTGCAGGAGCTGCTCTTCGACCACGTCTTCCAGCGCCTCGGCGTCTCCTCGCAGGTGCCGCGGGCGGGGGCCGGGGCCCTTTGGGAGGCCCGCTGGGCCCTGCTGGGGGCGGCTTTAGAGGGCGTCCGCCAAAGGGGCCTTTCCTGGTTGCTTCCTCCCCTGGGGTTCCCAGCGCTCGCGGAAGAGGAGGCCCCTTAACATGTGCCGGCCCTTTTCTGCTCTGTGAAGGTCTTCCGAAGAGCCTGATCCTTCGTCCGCCCCTGCTTTTCAACAAGATCTGGGCTCCTCAGTGCCCAAGACATGTTTGCTAGTGCAAGTCAGGGTCTCTGGCCCCTGCCAGATGTGCAGGGAAAGACATGATAGGATCTCCTTGTACCATCCACGCGCTGGCACTTCCTGCTATCGTACCATACGCGCATGGCAGGAGGCACGATTGTGGGATCCAGCGTCAGATCCCATCGCACCCTATCGCCGGCGCAAGGGGACTCGGGATCGTGGTTGCAGGCTCCCCCCTGCACCCGCAAGGAACAAATTCCCACGGCTAGGAGCTCAGTGTGACCCTACGGCCGGGAGCACCATCAGCTGCTGGGCGCCTGGCTGCACGTTCAATTAATGGTGTCATAGGAACCAGCCACCAAGGTTGGTACAGACATTATATGGTTACTGGTATAAGTAATCGGAAACTGGTCTATACCCATAACAGAACAGAAGTTTGGCGCACACAGACTGGTTTAAAATTGCAGAGCCCGGTCTAAGATTTGCCTCCCAACCCTTTGTCCCCACTCCCCCTGCCACCAAAGGGTGAATCATAGCCAATTAGGGTTGGAAGGGACCTCAGGAGCTCATCTAGACCTGTTCACTACCTATCTAAACTACACCATTTACAGAAAGCCACATACCTTAGATAGATTCCACCTCAGGTTTTTTGAATGTCTGTACCTAGCCAGAATTATTTCATATATTTTATGGAATCATTTTATGGCTTATTTCGGTTTTATGACACCATTAATTGCTTTAACATATGGCTGGGTTGTAACTTAAGATGCAGTTAACTGGCTAATCAGGTCTTAAGTGTAATGTGTGGCAGGGGCCTTTGTCATTTACACACGCTTCAAAAAATCTGTTGTCTTTCCTAAAGTAATTCCCAGGATCCTTGTATAGTTCAATTAATGGTAGAAGCTATGGTATAGATAGGGCTCTGGCGTTTAGTATTGTGTCCTTTATATGTGGAATGCTTTTTCGTTGCTCTGGGTTTTTTTGCATTGTTGCTGGTACCTGTGAATTATTTGGCCTTCAGCAAAGGTTGAGGGTGACCAGTGGAAGTTCTAAGCAGTTGAAGATATGAAATGCTGTCATCACTCTGTGGTCTCTGTTGAAAATAGTTAGGATAAGATCTATCTGGTATCCCTTTGATCAGGTCCCCTCTTCCTAAAAAGGCAGGGTTTTGCAGGATATGTATGGGCAGTATTAATCTGATTCAACTATTAATCTCATTCATGTGTTAAGAGAGTGAATGTCCATTATATTACTCTCCATAATATTACCTTCTCTTTCACTTGATCACCTGCAGGGTTGTGTGGACCATCCAATCATTTTAACAGAAGCTGTGTGCAATCCACTATATTCAAGACAAATGATATCAGAGCTCCTGTTTGAATGTTACCAAGTCCCAAAGGTTTCCTACGGAGTGGATAGTTTGTACAGCTTCTACCACAACAAAAGGCAGAGCTGGCCTTGTAGTGGTCTAATAATTTCTTCTGGTTATCAATGTACACACGTTTTGCCAGTCTTGGAAGGAAGGTGAGTTACAGACCTGTACAGTACTGCACATCTATTTGTCTTTTGAGTACTGAAGTGCAAATGGCAGAGACAACAAGTTCTGTCAGTGTACCATGCTGTGTCTTGTTCCATCATTTGTTTAAACCTGAACTTTTTTAGGCCCAGTTTATTTTACAAGGAGAGAAGACATTTACCTGAGATGGCAAAATTTTGAAACCTCAGCTACAATGTAAATGTTAGAATGAAAAAAAATCATCTTTGTAAAATATACATGGTGCAGCTTCGTTGTTATTGTGTGTCAGGAAATAAATCCACATATATGAAAAAGAACAGAATCTCTTCCTACAGTAAAATATCAGGTGTCCAGTACATAGTAAAAAAAAAATGGATGTGTTTTGTGTTTTAATGTGACTCTGGGTGACTGAAAATGTTATTTCAGGTCACATTTTTGCCTTAATGATAAAGGCTGGCCAATATACTAAAGAAAGTTGACCTGTGATCCTTCAAGAAAAAGTAAATTCTTGTTCTAGTCATATAGCAGGCCAGTTGTACAATATTTTACAGGATGAGGGACAGAAAAGACCATTTCTGTCTCCTCTGAAAATCAGTTACTCCTTCTTGAAGTAGGAAAATGTATTGTCTTCATCTTAACCAAAAACACTAAAGATTTCTTTTTCACAAAATAGTCCTGGCAAAGCGATTCCCTCATTCTCCATGGTTGCATATTCCACTGGCTAATGACACATAGGGTAAAGATGTATACCTCATGAGTTGTAGTGAGAGAGTCTTCATTTTAGTAATAACCTCCACAGGGGTCTTTTATTCAAACTTTTCTTGATCAGTTTTGCTCCTTCTTTTACTTTCCTGCCAGATTCTTTTAATTGAGCTGAAACTAACATGCTGTATGTGTTTCAAGAAGTCTTGTGACCATTTTTAAGATTTTCAGTTCATAGGTACTGAAGACATTCAATAGGAACAGAGCAGTTCTGGCAGCCATCCTTGATATATTTCTTCTGTAAAGTTCTGCCACCACAGACCCTTCTTAGAAAAAACACCTTGGGAGTTTTGAAGCTGCCAGGTGGTGAGGGTAGCAGACCTGCTGAATCAGCAGGTATCTATGTATTTTAAGGACTCTAGGTATTTCTCTGTCTTGTAGACTGTTGAGTATTACTTGTCATCCTTCTGCAGTTATGAACCTTTCCAGTTTTAGTAATGTCTCTCTGTTTGGGTTATTAGATTAGATGCTAAAAACTGTAAACGTATCAATCTTGGAGGATGCCAGGCAGCTGTGTATCTTCAGCGCCTTCTGCAGCTAAAATATCCTGGGCATTTTGCTGCCATAACTCTCAGCCGCATGGAGGAAATACTGCATGAGCACAGTTATATTGGAGAAGATTACATAGAAGGTAAGGCTGGCAGTAACTTGCTACTATGCGGTTTTCATTCAAACTTAGTCCTATCCTCTACATTCTTCATTGCCAAGCAGGCAGAAATATTGTTTGCTGAGATTCTTGCAGCCTTCCTGAAGGCTGACTGGCTTTCCCCAGCACTTTCTCCCCCTTCATCCACGCATAGTAAAAGGCCAGTAATTACAACCATGCCCAGCACCTGCTCTTTGGGATGGTCCAGTTCAGAGTACAGCAAATTAGAAATGTGAGTAGTCAGTGCCTGGCAAAATGGTCCAGTGTGGTAGATGATGAACTCAGGATAGATCACAGGTGGGCAAAATACGGCCTGCAAGCCTGATCCCACCCACCAACCAGATATGGCCTGCCAACTGGCTGAATTCGGCCAGTGGCTGCCCCTGCAGTACTCCACATGGGGCTGAGTCCCACGTGTTCCTACCGGGGCAGCCCACACTGGGGCATCCCACCAGCCGTGGCCACAGCCAGCATGCAGCTTCTGGCAGGTAGTTCCCAGTGCAGCTACAGCTGGTCGGATGTTCCTCTGCTCCCCTCGCCTCAGTGGGAGCTTCCCCTTCTGCCCACCCGGAGTGACGCAGCAGGGGCAGGAGTAGGAGGAGGAGCTGCCATTGGTGGTGAGGGGAGCAGAGCAACACCCAGTCAGCTGCAGCTGCACCAGAAACAGCCCCACTGGAAGCTGTGCGCTGGCTGGGGCCTATAGGGCTGTTCTGCTCCTCTCACCTCCAGCTCCAGCTCCTGCTCCTGCCACGCTGCTCCAGGTGGTGGAAGCTTCAACCGTGTGGCTTCTGCCCAGCGCATGGAGCTTCGGCTCCAGCTTCCAGTCACCTTCCACCTGTTCTGCCTACCCACCTGCAGGGGCTGCTCATTGAGCCAGGCAGAGGGTGGCCAAGAGCTGGAGCTCCATGCGCTGGGCAGGAGCCTCCCACTGAAGCTTCCCACTGCCTGCCCAGAGCAGCGTGGCAGGGGCAGTAGCCGGAGGCAAGGGAAGCGGAACAGCACTGGCCAGCGCGCAGCTTCTGGTGCGGCTGCAGCTGGCAGGGTGCTGCTGTCTTGTCCTCCCCTCCTGGTGACAGTGCGAGCCTGGCTGGCTGCAGCCATGCCAGGAACAGCCTCGCTAGAAGCTGCACACTGGCTGGGGCTGGGGTCGGCAGGTGTGGGTGGGAGCATGGCACTGGCTGCCCCGAGCAGGGCTCAGCCCCACGTGGAGCACTGCAGGGACAACCCCCGACTAGGCAAGCTTTGCTGCATGCACCCCCTGCCTCGGCAGCCCCCCTCCACATGCGCACCCCTCCTCCCCCCGTCACCTGATATAGATTGCTCCCTTCAGGGCATTCCGTTTCCATTGACATTAAATCTGCAACATATTGGAAGTCACATTTGAAATGTGTAAAAACACATTATGTTGTAACAAGTCCAATAGCAAAAGAAGCATATTATTATACTCTAGTATAATAAAACAATAATACAATAGATAGTTTTAAAAAAATATTTAACTTTTAAGTGGAAAAAGCATAAAGATAATTATCTGCGGCTATAAAAATGTAGATCAGACTGGGTGTGCTCCTGCTCTCACTGAAGACAAGAATTTTGATACTGATTTAAAAAGGGATAGAACATGGCCAATTTAATTTTGATATGACCCTCTTTCAAAGCAGTGAAACTAGTATTAGATGAATGTGTTGTAAGAGTAATTATTGCCCTAAACATCAAAGAACTGCAAATTAATATGTGTTTGTGTATTTTATAAACTATTTTGTCAATGAAAAAGAGAGCTTTGGGAGCAATTATATTAAATTACTTCTCAAGAAGGCAGAGGTAGACCAATCGGATGTAACAAGCAAGTCAGATATTAGTCTTGACTTTGCTTGCCACAAAGGTTATTGTTTTTACTAATTTTAAGAATCAATAAAATATGGGTTTTGAACATTTTGAAAAACGGTCATAGAGTGGTTCCAAGTCTTAATATTCCTGTCTTCTGTTGAACCCACTGCTTTCTTCTGAAAATGTGCTTTTACTCTAATTGAGGTATTAACTGCAGACTCCTGTACTGCCAGCATGCTTTCCCCAGGACATGTTGCTGGTGGCGGGGGCTGTGCGCCGTGGGGGAGAGTGTGTAGGCTGCAGCAGTGGTCCCCAACCTTGTCAGACCCAAGGCACCCCTGAGAAAATGTCGGCCTTTTGCTTTTGCTTGTGTGTTTGGCTGTTGAAAAAATAACAGCAATTCTTCTGCTGCATAGAACTCAGAAAGACTACAGTAGGATAGTTTTGGTTCTGGATTTCTATTTGAAATCTTAGGGTTTATCTTGTAAATCAGTGCTTGTACACCTAACAGTGCTCAAGTTGTGCATCACCCTTAAAAGGATCTCGTCACACCCTGGTTGAGCATTGCTGGGCTACGTTCAAGCAAAGCCAAGCTCTTAATCAGTGAAAGAAGCATCGGTTCATTTTAGTAGTTTGTATCTGCCATTTCTGAAAATCCATTGTTTTAGGGCAGAACTGAAAGCTTTGTCTTGATTAAGACAAATCTTGATCAAGAGCTGTGCCATTGGCCACTCCCTGTGATGCTATGCAGTTTGTTGTGATTGGGGATTTCTTTTAGCCCAGACTGGGGTCTCTGCTCAGCCCCTTGCCCAGCTCTGTCATCGGAATGTGTGGAATTCAGTTTGGAGACAGTTTCCTCCCATCATTCTTTCCTGGTTTGATCTAACATGGGAGGAAAAAAGTGTTTCCTGCCTTCATCTGGCACCCTTTGTCAGCAATGAAAAACAAAGCTAAAGTAGACACAATTGAAATCAGAGGTCTTGTTTTCATTTTCAGTGAAAACACTTTCTGGAAGAGAGTTCATAAAAAGAATGTTTAAAGTTAGAATTTGATTTTGATTTTATTTCAAAATCATCTGTTTAAACATTCTGTTATGATTTTTTTTCCTCTGAAATAATTCAATTTATTCAGTTGGATTATTTCAGAGGGGAAAAATCATAATATTACTTTCATTTTTGCTTTTGTTTACTACTTGCCATTGGTGGTGATAAACCAGTCAATTTTTGATGAGTTTTGTTCTCTGCTGCTTGTGTGCACTCACAGCACAGTTTTAGTATGGCAAACAGCACATTTGATGAGCAAGAAGGTTTCATATACCTTCTTTCACATTTCTTAAATGAAAAAATTCTGTGAAGTAGTCTATGATATTTTAGAGAGGCTGTTCCCAACTTTAGAAGGAATGATCAGAGGTCCAGCTCACAGCTAGTTTCATGTCTTTTGCACACTGGAGATTCAGAGGGCTAAAAGCCAGATTGGAAGATAATCGCACTGAATGTGATAACTAATGTTTTGACACTGAGAAGAGATGGTACTTTGAGGAGGGAGCAGATGGAGAATAAGGGCTGTTCAGGGTTTCCAGACTAAAAGTCTCAAAAGGTTTCTAAACTAGATTTTTACCTCTTATTCTTTTCTAAAGTCTGAACTTGCTAAATGCAGTGTGTACAAGGTAAAACGTCCTATGACTTTGACAAGTAGGCTGTGCTTTCAAAGTTGTGCTTTCAAAAAACTTCAACAGAACTACAGAAGTGGAGGTCTCCTGAGTATTACGAGAACAATGTTCACAAGATGCAGCTGCCCTTCTCCAACAAACTCCTGGGCAGCACGCTGACATCAGAGGAGAAACAGGAGAGGAGGCAGCAGCAACTGCGTCGACTTCAAGAGCTGAATGCACGCCGCCGGGAGGAGAAACTGCAGCTTGACCAAGAGAGGCTGGACAGGTTGCTCTATGTGCAGGTAGTGATGGAAGACAAGTCTGCTGTGTAGTATTATGTGTGCTTGTGTAAGAATATTATTTCCAGAATGTTATCTAAAGAGCATATGTCACTGTACTCCAGGTGCTTGGGTACCCTGGAGATGGGCATGTTAAAATTAATTAGAGATGCATGACTTGGTGGATGCCTCCAGATCCTCAGTGGCACTGTCTCTTGTGCAGGACATTGAAGGCTGTTACCAGTTTCCTTTTTAAGACCACAGGCCTCTGTCACAACAGGTAGAATCTTCTGCAGAATTAAGCTAAGGAGAAGCATCCAGTGCATTTCACCGTGTTTAACTGACTTGCAGTGTTCACAACAACTAGTTACCTAATAGTGTGATCTGTCTGCAGGAACTGCTAGAAGATGGTCAGGTGGATCAGTTTCACAAAGCTCTGGTGGAGCTGAACATGGACTCTGCAGAAGAACTGCAGTCCTACATCAACAAGCTGAGTCTGACCATTGAGCAAACCAAGCAGAAAATCCTGCAGGCAGAAGTCAGCATTGAAGTGGATGTTGTGGATAGCAAACCAGAGGTAGGACAATGTGAAGGCAACAGAATTCATTAATGCATGTGACACACTAAAACATACATATGCCTGCAAGTGTGTCTTGGTTGTCTTCTGACTATCCTTATGGCTGAGCTACTCTTTTACACACTGCAACTATGGTAATTTGACAACTGCTTTTCCCAGCTTAACCTTCCAGCTCAGCCATTGGAAGATACAGAACTGACTTCATAGCAGTTGCTTGAAATTTAAAAATCTCCACTGTTCTCAGAACTCAGTCCCCTCAAACATCCGTTAATTCTTTAGATTTGTGCCACAATACAACAATCAGATTGGTTATCCCAGTCTGTTTGTGCTTCTAATGTCAGTTAAAATGTACAATTGTATGGGACACTTGATAGAGTTTTTTTCCCCCCAAAGCTATTTAAGGGGATGTGGAAAGGAGAGAGTTGTTTAGTTGGGTCAAATGCAGAGGGAATGATTACTTTCTTTCCTTTCTCTTTAGTGCAGCACAATGAGGGAAGAGGCTATACTGTAAAACTGATATAAGGCATTTGGCAGCATATTGTGGCCACTACTAGATGCCTCCTTAACATTCCAAACCAGCACCAAGATTCACCTGTTGTATTAAATTTGATGAAAAGAGTGGGCCCAAAAAGTGAGAGATTTTTAGCATGACCCTGTCACAGCATAACATTAAACAGGCAAACAAAGTTTGGGGTATTGAACATTGCCTGCTTAGTTCCTTGACAGGCAGTCACCATAAATTCATAATCTTTTATTAAAGATACAGAAAAAGAAGAAAAAACACATAAAGCATATGCAGTGTAAAATATTATGTAAGGTTTTCTTTCATTTTAACATGTCTTACTTCCTTTCCCTTTAGCTATAAAGAAAGAGTTTGTCAGAGAGGGGGGGAGTTCATTTTGATGGGTCTTAGTGTAAAACGTGGTGGTAGTTTTCCTTTTGGTAATTTTCCTTTTGGGAGAAAGGGAAAGTTATTTGAGATGGGGTAGAATTGTTGGTCTTTAATCTTGTTTTCTTGAAGAGAAGAAATAAGACCAACAAGACAAGTGATCACAAATGGCAAGTAAAAAGAACAGCAAAGATAGATACAGATCTTGTTTCTGATTCTGACTCTTAGTTTTGACTTATTGCTAAAATGCCTGGTAGAGCACATTGTCCTTTCAGCCACTTCAGGACTGCATGAGTCTTGAAACTTCTAGCAGGGCTAATGTATTGCTTTAGGCTGCCTTTCTGGTTAGCATGTAGCAAAAAAAAGGCAGTATTGGCTAACTTGAAGCCAGATTCTTTTTTCTTTTTCTTTTCTTTTTTCAAAGAAGGCAAAAGGAGAGTTCTAGGAAAGAATAATTAAATTAGAGAAGGAGACAGAGCAGGTTGTAACTGGTACCTACACTTCTATGGGCTGCCCTAGATCTACAAATATGTGCACACGCAGTGGCTGCACTTCATTTGGTAGGGATTGTGAAATGAGCATCACTAATAATTATAGTTGACTTTTCTCAGTCTGCTAACTAGTCTTGTCCAGTTAGGGGTCAACTGACTAAGACTGCATGACCTCCAGTTTTAGGGTATTTGCTTTGTTAGTGCACAGACAGGTCAGCTGCAGTAGAGGCACAGAACTGGGTCTCACTGGTCTATTGAAAACTTAGCAGCCATGTTCCCTTTGACCTTTCAAGTATGATTCACATTGTGCAGAAGAGATGATAATACATAACCCTGTGATACCTAGTGTGAGAAGACCCACAGTTATCTGCAAAATATACTTGGGAAGATAGGAGCAGAGAAAATCAAGGAAAGAAAGACAGGATTCAGATGTGGTTAATTACATTCTGTGCCTGCCCTTTACATAAACCACACTTTCCTATATTTTACTAGTATTTCTTTTCTTCTTTTGTATGTTTAAAAAATTGAGACCAAACTGACAGCATCCATTTAGAATTAACTCTGCAAAAAAATCCATCTAAGTTAATCAAAAGGGTTTTTTCTTTTTAAATATAAAGGCTACTAACATACCTAAGCTTTTACATTTTAAAGGTCATACTTTTTCACTTGGGTATTTGCTAGATGTTAAAAAATAACCTGTTTGGTGTGTGACAGGCAAAACTAACTCCCTGGTTACAAAACCCCAAACCAAAATCACTGTTAATGTTAAAGTAAATAAGGTAAGATAAAAATGACTCCCAGTTCTCACAACAATACTGTAGGATCATGGGTAATGATGCCTTTAGAGGCAGGCACCAAAGAGCTTTGGTGGCATGTTCATTCCTGTGTAAGACAGAATGGTCTTTGTAGCCTTCAAGGCATAACCAATGCACAGACAGGCTGCTGCCTGAACATAGGCAGCTGCCAAGATTTGGGTGGCAGATTTGTAGCCAACAAATGTTTATTTTCCAGACCCACATAAACAAGGCAAGAAATTGTGATAATTATAGAGCAGCTGGAGGTGCTGGAAGTTGTATCAAAATGTAACCAGCTTAAAAAGATGTTCTAATAAGATTTAATGTATGCTTAAGTTAGCACAACCACTCTTCTTATAA